GAAAGTCATGTTCAGGAGCTATGTGCCAATGATGGAGAGGTCCGCTCACCACTAGAGGGCTTCAGGAGGGAGTTCGTCATTTTTTGCGATTCCTCCCTTCGCTGAAAAGAGCACGGACCACAGTGGTTTGCTATATCGTACACAGGGTAGAAAGTGGGTTTCTCGCGGGGCCACTTGCTTGTGCGTTTTAGTGTCACCTTTAACACAAAATACTACCGTCGAGGCAGAATGGACGTCGTTGATTCGAAACCAGATGACCAGTAAGGAGAGGAATAATCGCCGTGAGTAGTCCAAATTGAGCAATTTGCAGCATCTTTCAAGGATTTGGAGCATTTGGCACCAGCGCACGATGGCCTACTCTTGCATATGACGTTACGGGGATCTTTCAACGTCCGCCGTCCAGTGAAATCGGACGGCGCGTGGTTGTGTCATTGTTGATGCACACCGCAATAATAACCAGGGTGCGGCCACTGGATTTAAACCGCGAACCTCTGCAATACGCGGTCAACGCTGGGCCGCGTCACCACCATTCAAAAAAAAACACGTGAAGGGGGGGGGGGCAAATATCCTACAGATGGAACAGATGGAGATTTATTCCACTTCGCTGTACTGCCACCTCCTGGCAAGGCAGGGTATATGCTGCACCTTGTCACACTTGAATGGAATTTCGCAGCATTTGTGCGAACCACTGACCCACACCTCCAGTGCTTGATCACAAGGCGTGTGCCACCACCGCCTCGGCTTATTATCATTACTCGGACTACACTTGTTTACTGCAGGAAAGTCTATCAGGAGTCTCGAGACAATCTCAGAAGGGTCCCGTTGAGTGGTCGCAGTAGAAGGGCAATGTTTCTGCTGTGTATAATCCCAATTGGATAATTTTGCAGGTAAGTTTTCAGCACTGCCATGTTTGGCAAATCCCATTTGTACTGTGGATTATTTTTTTAGCTATGGGAGCAAAGCAAAGAACGTGCAGGAAACGCCCTGCAGAATAGGGGGGAGAGCATACACACTGTGCGCAGAGAAGGCACCCCGATTCGGGAATCGAACCCAGGACTTTTTTCTGTGCGTCACGAGTTTACACTACTCCAACCTGCCACCCACTCAGGACTTAAGCCCAAAGCAGCCCGCTGTTTTTTTTTCCTGTTTTCCAGAGAGGCCCATAAGGTGCCAATCCAAATTGCAATTGACAAACGACAGCCTCTCCTACCCAGCCAAGTGTTTGAACATTCCACCTGACCAGGCATGTATTTTTCTGGGTGGGGAGGTGGGGGGGGTGCTTCAGTGCCCATGATCTTCCAAAAAAAAGGGATTTGGGCCAGGGAACATCTTTGACGACCATCCCCTTGGGAACTCTGGCATGTTCATTTTGATTTGGCATGTTCATTTAGATTTTACGGTTGTTTGGAAATGAATTACACCCATTCCACCCACTCGACTCACCATACCCACGCCACACTCTTCCATCGCACCCGACTTGCACTCAGGATCACCACACCCACTCATCCACCACTGCACTCAAGCACTCACCCACTGAATGGAGTATATATAAGGGGGCTTTGGCCACCCGCTGGCGACGGTCGTGTGAGTGTTTGTGCGATGTCACTGGATCATTAAGTTAAATCTCCCACGTCGGAGAGGCATCAACTGAGATGCATCTCCGTCCACTGCAGGGACATGCAGTACCCGGGAGAAGTTTATTGTACATTCGTTCCACATTGGCCAATGCAGGCCGATTCATCAACGTTTGGCACCGCCACAGAATGCCCTACAACACAACTCCTGCAAACGTTACCCAAGAGGGGTCTTTCTAACACCAACTCTCACAACAGCGTGGGATGAAAATTATCCGCAGAGTTCGGGACCAAATGCCAGCGTTGTGACGTCGCTTCAAGCGGAGCCCTTCGAACCCCTTGACCCCAGCCGATGGTGCCATTGGTGGTCGTCGGCAAAAACAGGGGCCGCGCGGACTCCTAACAGCGCCCCCCGTGCCCACCCCCCCCCCCCCCCCCCCCCGGGCCAGGGTTACCAGAAAGTTCCACAGCCATCTCGAACTTAATTTTCTTCAATTTGTTTACCCAGGAGAGCCTCACCGAATCTCATGACTTTGTCAGGAAGATGCCGTCACGTCTATTTCCACAGTATGGGGTGGAAGGCGGGGTGATTTTCACCACTGTATACATCCCAATCAAGTAATTTATGCACGGGGTAATTTTATTTTTTTTGTGGGGGAAAAATTGGGACCGTGACTGCCGGCACACGATGGCCTAAACTCTTGCGAATGACGTCACGGGGATCTTTAACGCCCACCGTGAATTAAGCGGACGGCATGTAGTAGTATTACTACTGCGGTTCAAATACCGCACCGCCGCAGGAATAACCAGGGCGGGTCCCCCCACTGTACACGCGAACCGTGAATCTCCGCGATGAGCGGTGAGTGACCGCTTGGGCCTTGTAGCTGGGTTTTGTCGTTTTCCTCTCGCTCCCGATAAAGTGTCGCCGGTCCTGCTGGCTGCCGCAGCTGATGTGAAGCGATTCAAATGTGCCCTCGAAGATATAGAGCAGCGCCAAGAGAAATTGCGAGAATGAAAAATAAAACTCACAAACACTGCAAAACTATACTGTTAAATTATTGCTTGCATAGTAAAAAAAGAAAGCAAGTTACAAACATTTCTTTAAAACTTCAAAAGATAAACCTGCAACATGTACCATTAAGTGTCAGTAAAAGAAATATACATATTTCAGACATTTCCAGATTATTCATGGTCCTGATGTCTTGGGGGGAGGGGGATGAATTCCACAATTACAGAAACGTCTCGTGTCCAATAATTTAATTTAACTTAGAGGAACAAGTAGCAGTACGGCAGCCTTGAAACAAAGATTACAATATAGGGGGACATGATGAACAACCAGTTCTGAAAAGTGCCAAGTCATTTATGGCCTTCCAAATGCAAGAATAATTGACACATCAGGCAGCCAGTGTAGTCGTGTACCATCCAAGCACGTCCGTGACTACGGACGCGAAAAAAATACCCTCTCCATGCGTAACGATGCTTAATCCCAGGCCCAATGTTACGTAGCGCTTTGCACGCTTTTATTCTCGCGTGACCCTCCACGGTGCAAAAGGCAACACACCCGTGCAAAACCACGAGTGCCGCTTTGCTCACCTGACAAGCGCGCTTGGCAAACTCCCGGCCAGAGGAAATTGGCTCGAGCGCCGCAGCGCGCGCCGCTTCTGCCACCCGATGCAACGGTTACGTTCCCAATTGCAATCGATGGATAACGGAAGCGGAACAAAAACTACATCGCGTTTCACGACACGATGAAAATAAAATCCAAAGTCCGCCTAACTCCTTCTACAGGAGGCGAACACGCCAGGCTAGCTCAGGGCGCTCGCTCACGCAGGACGCCCACTTCACGCAGGACACTCACGCACGCAGGACGCCGCCCGCGCAGGACACCCCGCGCATGACGCTCACGCAGGACGCTCACGCAGGACGCCCACGCAGGACGCCCACGGGACAGCCCTCACCGAGGGCTCCACAGAGGGAAACCTCGCACACAGCCCTCGGCCTCAGGCCCCGGCCGAAGCGGTTGGGGCCCGTGCGTCGACGCCGCACAAGCAAACCCAGGCACCCGTCAGCAGGGAGAGCACAGCAAAGCCTTTTATTATTAGTTTAGGGGGTGTATTTTTTTTTCCTCTTTTAATACAGACTTGATGCAATCATGTACAAGTAAAAAAAAAATGCACACAGTTTAGCTCACTTCAGCAGGACCCACGTGGAACGGAGCTTGTTGGTCAACGTTCACCGGTGCGGTCGCGGTGAAATGCCGTCACGCCTTGGCCATGAGAGGGAGGAAGACTCCGCATCACATCCCCCAGCCCCCCCCCCTCCTCCTCCTCCCCCCCCCCGACCCGTCACTCACAAACCCTCCAGCGGCACGCGTCTCTTACGCGACAATGAAATAAAAAAAACACAACCGCACCTTCTAAATCCTCGTAAATGCTATCCGCTGTTAAAACGTACACTCGTTTTACATCTCTCTCAACGCTAGAAGAAGGGTTGCGTTCCCCCAGCAAAGAACTCTTTTGGACAGGTAAGGTGTCAAAGGGTGGGGTGGGGGGGGGGGGCAAAACATGAGGTTATGGAGGGCTTCATATCCCCCACGTTTGCCTTTGGGACGACGACGCACAACGAATCCCTCATCATCACTGGCAGAGATGGGAATACAGTGTCCAAAACGCGAGCACGCACGCGCGCACACAACACACGCCAGGGAAATAAAAACGCAGAGAAATAAAAAAAACTACACAACAACAAAACAATCAACGAAAGGGAAACGATTACACAGTTTAAATTAGAGAAAGAAAACATCGTCAAAACACGGCGAGAAAACGAGAGCCTTGTAGTGTCAAGCTACCCTTAGGTCAACACGGGCAGCAATTGGCGTCACATCATCACTTGTCAACCAGACCGGGGGCCGACAGCGCTCGCACACTCGCAAACGACGCGCGGTCGCACAGTCGGCCACACAACATAAGCGCAACCTGTAAAAACGCTCGTGGCGGGGGGTAGGGGGGGCAGTACGCATAATTGGTGTGTAAAAACCCACATGATTCACATTCCACAAAGGCGCAGGACGTTTCAAACGCGCAGGACGTTTTTCACTTGATTATCGTTCGTCGTGGCGCGCCACCACTCGTCACGTACGCTCGAAGCGCGCAGGATGTAAACGCAGCAACACCACATGGAGGGCTCGGCGCATCATCGCAGAACGCCGGCTGTGGCCACGGCGGCAGCGCCCTCCCGATCACAATGGCGTTTAGGGCTCGTACGGAAACTCTGCCCAGCACAAAGACAAAGACCGTCCCCCACCTCCCTTACAGCCTGAACGGACTGTTGGGGCAAGTGCTGTTAGCGAGCTCCTATGAAAGCCGGCACGGTACAACGAGTGGGAGTCCTTACACACCGCAACAGGTAGTCATTTGAGGCCGAGTCGACCTCGGGGAGTCCCAGGACCGGTTCAGATAATCGTCACTCGTGTTGGCCCGTGAGCGGGAATTGAACTCGGGTCATTGGGTTCGTAGCGCAGCGCGCGAACCGCTACACTATCGCTCCCCCACTGCCGCTCTGTCTTTGCCCAACGCACGCACTCGCACGCACGTACACACGCACACACGCACGTACGTCCGCTGCAGGGCCACCTCACACATGGCAACACGTCAACACTCGAAAACCGTCAGAAGCACACTGCAGATTCATATAAAACGCCAAGGACATCCGTGTTTATCCACATTAAGACTTTCGCAAGATGATCCAATGACCAGGACTCATGGCAGACCACAAGGCATCCACACTGCACTTTTCAATGCACACACACACACACAACCTCCACTCACAGCTGTACGAAGAGAATCTCCGATTCCCCCGCACCTTCAATTCCCCGCACCTCCGATGAGCACGGTTGGCTACATACGGTGCGAAAGAAGTTCAACATACATACAAAACGGCCACAAAATATCCGTGGAACAGGTAAGACGTGACAGGGTGAGGGGGGGGGTGGAAGAGGGCAATGGGGAGGGGGGGACACACACACAGGGTACGGTGCTCCCAGCACCGTGGACATAACGGTCCAAACACGCCCTCACGCTGCACACATCGCTCAACTATCTCGCCGGCGCTATCCTGCCAGTAGGTCCTGGCTACACTGGCGACCACCAGAGACCCAAACGCTGCAGCCATCGGCACGAGCGCCCAACAATGGCCAAAACCACCCAACTCGGCAGCTCTCAAAAATACAAGGAGAAAAGAAAAAGACTCAGAAGACTCCATGCTTATACAAATCCCGCATCGCTCACCTTGACCAATGCTCATCATAATTGCAAACCTATGATATTATTACGCGTGGAACGCAGGCAGAATTAATTAACCCCACGGTGAGCGGCAGGCTTCCCCCACTTCCATACTGCAGGGGGGCGGGGGGGGGACAAGCAATTGCTTTGACGGTTGCTGTGGCGACACCTCGCACGCCCCTGTTGCCCCTGCTCCCCCTGCTGCGGGGTGGCGGCGGTGGGACGGAGATGCCGACTACACCAGACAGAGCCGCACCTTGCGGACGCCGATCGGCCGCTCGTTCAACTCCTTTACGGCTGCCATGGCCTCGCCGGTCGTCTCAAAGGAGACGAGAGCACTTCCCGGCACCTGCATGTTCACCGATTCAGGGATCACGCGGTAGCCATAGAAGAAGTCCAGGATCTCACTCTGGTTCACGACGCGCGGGAGGTTCTTGAGTCTCACGATGCCACGAGGCTGGGGGACCCCGCCCATGCCAGGGCCACTGGGCCTATCTGGCGGCCCCGCATCCTGGCCCGCCTTGCAGAACGGGGCTCCCCCGTGACTGCCAGCAAAGCCTTCTGATAAGTTCACATTACTGCCACTGTTGCCGCCGCCGCCGCCACCGCCGCCCCCACCGCCGCCCCCACCACCTCCACCGCCACCACCCCCGCCGAGTGGCCCGCCAAAGTTTTTGCCAAATACGCCCGCACTATCGCCGGGTGGGAAAAGAGGAGGTCTTGACATGAAGGGAGGGAGCGGAGGAGGGGGACCCCGGAAATTAGGGCCGCAGAATGGAGGGGGTCCAGTCATGGGGGGTCTGGGGCCCCCTGGGAAAAATCCTCTGTCTGGGAATCCCCCGGGTCCGACAGCGGCAGCTGTCCCGGGCTTTCTGTCGGGTCCCTGTCCCTCCTGCTGCTTTTCCGGCCCTGCCGCCTTCCCCTCGCTGCCAGGGTTTGCCTTTATGGCCAGCATCTCGGCGTGGCTCACCACCCTGATGATGGCCTCCCGGCCCCCAATCAGGCTGCGGTTGAGAGATGTGGCCTTGCCGGCTGCCTCCATGCTGCGGAACTGCAGCATGGCCTGCCCAATGGTCTCTCCGTTCTTGTTGCGCAGAATCTGAATGCCCTCATCCGACAGATCGTGCCCTTTGAAGAAACACATCAGGTCGTCCTTGGTGGCACTGCAGGGGATATTGCTCAGGTGCAGGTAGTAGCACATGCTGGTCTCGCTCGGGACCGGCTCGGGCTTCTTGGGTTCTAGGCGTTCGCCGCCGCCGCCACCGCCGCCACCACCACCACCACCACCACCGCCCTTCTCCTTCATCTTCTCCCCGTGGAGCCTCTCAAGGAACCACTTCTGGATGGGCCGCACGGTCAGGAAATTGTTGCCCACGTACGACTTGTCGCGACGCAAGATAGAGCGCATGTCGTAGTCAGATTTGCACTCCACGCACGCCTTCACCGTGCCGCCCTCAGGCACCAGGATGAGGCTCTCTTCCCGAATCTCCTGCCGGCCGAGGAACTTGAGCACCGTGAACTTGTCGGCGTTCAAGGGGAAGCCTCGGATCTGCACGCAGAGCCCGTGCTCGTCGGGCGAGGGGGAGCGATCCCTGCACGGGGAACGCGAGCGCCCCTTCTTGGGGGAGTGGGACGGCGACTGCGAGCACGGGCGCTTGTGCTCGCGGCCCATCGGCAGGTGCAGCAACGGGGCCTGTGTTCCCGCCTGCGCCTCCTTCTGCGGCGGCTCGGGCCCGCCAAAGTTCTTGGCGGCGCACAGCCACTCGCGCTCGGTCGCCGGGTGCACCTCCACGGGCTTGTTCACCATGCGCTGCTGGTGCCGCTTCATGCCCTCGATTGCGTCGCGTGTGCGGTGGAACTTGACGAAGCCGTCTCCCGTGGAGCGGAATGAGTCCCCGTCGTGCCCGAGCACCACGCCGTCCACCGCCAGACCCGCGAAGAAGTCGAGCACGTGCTGCCTGGTGACCCAGAAGGGCAGCCCCACGAGACGCACGTAAAGGTCGTCCGCATTTATCGGAGGCAAGGGGCTCAGTGTGCCCACCCCGTCATTGCCAGACATTAATCTGCTGCCGCGGCCACCGTCTGACAAATTCGCCAAGCTGGCGCCGCCTCCTTGGCCACCTCTGGCCGAGAAAGGGAAGCCGGACCCCTGCTCTCCACAGCCGTAGGCCGGGCCGGGGCCGGCGAAACGCGGATCGCCAAACAGCGCCCCTGCAGCGCCGGGAGGCATGGGCTGGCCTAGTGAAGAGCCAGGAACACCGGTGGAAGGAAGGCCCCTGACGGGCGGCGGCTCCAGGCTGGGCCTTAGGAGGGACGGTGCCGATCCAGGCCCTCGCCCCGGGCCGGAGAATCCCCCGACGGGGCTGGGCAAGTTGTCCTCAAAGCGAGATACGCGGCCGCTGCCGCCATGATTCGCAGCCGGCCTGCCTCCAGAATGGCCGGAGCTGCCCAGCCCACCGCTCGGACTGCCCATAGAAGAACCGTGGAATCCCATACTAGGGCCTGTGTTCTGCACGGAGCCACCGAAGCCAACGCCTGCACCACCACCGCCACCACCAACAGCCGAGCCACCCATCGTAGGAAGCCTCTGTCCCATAACAGGGCCGCTGCTAAGAGAACTAGAGAAACCCATGCCGGAGATGCCTTGACCCAAGCCCGGGCCGCTCGGGGCTGAGCTGGAATTGTAATTCCTGCTGGGTCCAACCTGACTCATCGAACTGCCACTGCCCAAAGAGGAACTTCCAAAACCCATGCTGGACCCACCAGTGGAAGGAGAGCCACCGTGACCTAAACTAAGACCACTACTCGAAGGAGAGTTACCGAATCCCATGCTCGAACCTCGTAGACCCTTGTCACTGGTGTCTATGTTAAATCCACTATAACCCATATTCGAGCCACCTTGATTTAAGCCGGGGGGTCCACTACGACTCATGCTGGGTAAGCCAGAACCCAAACCTGAGCCACCAGGACCAAAACTGGAACCACTACGGCTCATGCCGGGACCACCAGAACCCATGCCGGAACCACCAGGGCCCATGCCGGAACCAGCAGGGCCCATGCCGGAACCACCAGGGCCCATGCCAGAACCACCAGGGCCAATGCCGGAACCACCAGGGCCCATGCCGGAACCACCGGGGCCCATATTGGACCCACCGGGGCCCATATTGGACCCGCCGGGGCCCATATTGGACCCGCCGGGGCCCATATAGGACCCGCCGGGGCCCATATTGGACCCGCCGGGGCCCATATGGGACCCACCAGGACCCATATGGGACCCACCAGGGCCCATATTGGACCCACCAGGGCCCATATTGGACCCACCAGGGCCCATATTGGACCCACCAGGGCCCATATTGGACCCACCAGGGCCCATATTGGACCCACCAGGGCCCATATTGGACCCACCAGGGCCCATATTGGAACGACCAGGGCCCATACTGGAACCGCCCGGGCCCATACTGGAACCGCCCGGGCCCATACTGGAACCGCCCGGGCCCATACTGGAACCGCCCGGGCCCATACTGGAACCGCCCGGGCCCATACTGGAACCGCCCGGGCCCATACTGGAACCGCCCGGGCCCATACTAGAACCGCCCGGGCCCATACTGGAACCGCCCGGGCCCATACTGGAACCGCCCGGGCCCATACTAGAACCGCCCGGGCCCATACTGGAACCGCCCGGGCCCATACTGGAACCACCCGAGCCCATTCTGGAACCACCCGGGCCCATACTAGAACCCATTCCAGGTCCACCAGGGCCCATACTCAGACCACCAGGGCCCATTCCAGAAAAACTACGATCCATACTAGAACCACTGCGCCCCATTCCAGAATCACTAAGACTCATGCCAGGTCGCATACCTGGACCCAAACCAGAAGCACCAAGGCTCAGACCAGGACCACCAGAACCCAAACTGGATCCCATGCTAGTACCACCGGAACTCATACCAGAACCCATACTGGAACCCATACCGGAACCCATACCAGAACCCATACCAGGACCACCAGGACCTGTACTGGAACCACCGAGGTTCATAGAGCCACTAGGACCTGTATTTGTACCACCAAAGCTCATATCAGAACCACCAGGACGCAAACTGGAACCACCGTGGCCAACCCCATGACCACCAGGGCCTATACTAGAACCACCAAGGCCCATGCCATGACTACCAGAGCCCATGCTGGAACCCATATTGGAACTCATACCAGGACCACCTGGGCCCATACTGGAACCCATAGATGGTCCACTCGGTCCTAAACCAGAACCACCAAGGCCCATGCCAGGACCCATACTGGAACCCAGACCAGGACCGCCAGGACCCATACCTGAATGACTGCGATTACTGCTGGAACTGCCAGCACCAAGATTCAGGTTGGGGTCATTTTGCCCAGAGCTGCTAAAGCCCATGGGCGACCCACCGAGGCCCGAGCTGCCGTAGGCCATGGAGCCACCGCCAGAGGCTCCTCCACTGAAGCTAGAGCCCTTGCTATAGCCACTACTGGATGAGCCGGAGGAACCACCAGCGCCGGAGTGGGAGAAACCCGAGGACCCATAGAGTCCTCCTCCCGCGTAACCGGTGCCACCTCCGGACACCCCAAAGCCTTTACTGGGCCCATCCCCATAGCGTGAGCCTGGGCCATCGGGACCGCCGGTGCCACTCATGGGCATGGCTCCCAGCGATAGTGGGCCACCGCCCATGTTGAACCCGGAGCTGCCCGAGCCACTAGCACCGTAACCGGAGCCCGAGGAGGACCCTGTGCCATATCCGGAACTCGATGCTGAACCTAAGCCGTAGCCGGAACCTGATGACCCAAAGCCGTAGCCGGAAGATGACGACGATGACCCTATGCCATAGCCGGAACCTGACGATGATGACCCCATGCCATAGCCGGAACCTGACGATGAACCCAAGCCGTAGCCGGTACCGCCGGTGCCACTTGACATCGCGGAGCCGCCCGTGGCCATGCCGGAGCCGTTCACTTTGCGGCTAATGCCGTCGCCCCCCAGGGGGGCCATGGGAGGCATGGGAGGAGGCCCGCTGGACATGGGGGGTGGGGGCCTGTTCGACATGGGAGGAGGGAGAGAGGGCATAAAGGGGGCGGGGGGAAACGGGGGCCCAGGGGGTAGCGGAGGGGGGGGAACATTGAAACCTGACGGGGCCGAGAATGGCGACTGGTTAGGGGGCGGCATGTTGGCACCCATAACACCCCCTGGCATGCTGGGGTTCACTGCTTTGTCCGTCATTGGGGGAGGGGGGCCCCCTCCCACCCCAACCCCCGGGGGGGGCATGGCAGAGCCCATAACGGACTGCGGAGGCGTCACAGTGCCCACGCGGGACATTCCTCCTCCCCCGCCACCCCCACCCCCCCCACCGCCGCCGCCACCACCACCACCACCACCGACGGGCCGCCCGCCGCCGGGACCTGGGTCACTACCCCCCACCGAGCTGCCCACTTCGTATCGGCGCCGACTCTGCTCAATCACATTCTGCATCTCGCTCTTGCTGCTGAGCAGCAACGAGATCTTGGAGGTCTTGATGGAGCCGCCGTTGCGCATCATGCCGAGGCGCGCGTCCTCGTCCGTGGCGAACATGATGAAGGCCTCGCCCTGCTCGCCGCCTACGATGTGCACGCCGCCGTCCGGGATGCTGAGCCCCGAGAAGAACTGGCGGATGTCCATCGTGCCGGCCACCATGGGCAAGCCCTGAAGGCGAATCACCACCGCCATGGCGCTCTGTCTCTCACGCGCCCGCCCGGCCTGCCAGTCGTCTCGCACACCTGCAGCAGCAAGAATGACACACGCACGCACCACGCACATAAGTGGCGGTGGAGGTAGCGCATGGTGGTGGGGGGTGGGGGGGTGAGAGACGGGCGAGGCCCGCCAGCGTCGCTCCCACCACCCGCGGTGATATGAGAACGATCGCAATCTTTATCAGAATCTTATTCACCCTGGAAAAATACGATGAGCTATGAAGCACCTTTTTTCACAGACGCTCAAATGCGCGGTGCCACGTGCGAATTCACACGCCACAATACACGAGTCGGCTGCGGTCAACGTTGACCGTCGCCGTGCTTAAGGAGGTACCTTTAAATCGCGCGACAATTCGCCAAGAAGGCGCCATCGCTCCTGCTCAGTGGCACACCCCCCCCTCCCCCCGCTGGAGGGTGGTGCAGCGGCATCGACCATGTGCCTTTCATGTATACACGCGGGACTCATGAACAACCACTGTGGCAACGCTGCCGTTGTTCGTCAGCCAGGCGGTGGCGGCTATGCACGCGAACTGTAATCCGGCACTGTGGCAAGGGTCGGTGGATCATCGCACACACGTCGTTGTGAAACTCTTTCCGAGGGCATCGAGGAGGTGCCATATCCTGGCTCAACCAGCAAAAGGCAGCACAGCAAGTGGACCGTTTCCATCTGTACGGGGATAGAGTGCTGCCCTAATTGGCGGGCGTGGGTTTTCTCCAGGTGCACCGGTTCCTCCCATGTGTAAAAATGCATTAACTGACTGAAAAACATTTTTAAACACAATACAGGACCCTCCTGAAAGAGAGTCCTACAGCTCAGGGTGGCTCTCCTGGATAAATTAGTAAATCATAACATTTCTAATTGTTCTTGCAAAACCGTACACACGGCACGGCAAATCCAGCACACGGCCACACGGCGCAACTCTGCACAATGAGAAACTTGTGTCACACCGGCAACGAGCGAAGCAACATTCAGCAGTTCCACCGATGATTCGACGCTGTAACCCCTTTTCACATCATTACGAGGCACCACCGCATGCGAAATGCCTTTCACGAAATGTCAGCATGCAGTACTTTCTGCACAGCGGTACAATGTGATTACATTACAGAGCACAACAAAATAATGCAAGAGTTCAAATAACCGTGCCACCACCTTTATAACATTTTCAACACGGCCTTGTGGCGGACAAAGAGTCTTGTTCTTTAAAGGGACACTGCTCGTTCCAATGCGTTCTTGCCAGATCACAAAAGCCACAGCAGGAAGAGACTCTCAAGAAGGTCCTTTGCCCAAAACAACCGGCTGCTTTTAGCCAGTGATCATGATGAGCATGGCGAGTTGTTAAATGTTGACTTGCACGCTACCGCCAAGACAACTTCAACTTGAATTTTACACTTTGCGCAATGCGCGAGACAGAATGTAGGGCTCGTGAACGCAGGCTTCAGCGACAGGTGGAGGCAAGTAGACTAAGCTGACTGGGCCACCGATTGAGAATGGCGGATAACAGGGATGCCCGCAAGAGTCCTGCAGGAGAAAGCAAGCGGATCAAGGCCTAGGAGAAGACCACCACACAAGGTGGACAAAGGATAGGGGACCCATGAGATGAGGAATCACCGTGGAGGGTGTGAATGACCGGCGGCGATATTTGTATTGATTCCCACACCCGGATTAAGGATTCGGGGTAAACGGGAGAAATGCGTGTGAATGTATCAAGGAGTGTTGGGCTTCTACGTCACGCGGGGCCCCTTCTTCTGGGCGGTGACGTGGCCTAGCAGTAGCCGATTTTCCACCTGTCACAGAGGTTCAGGGTTCAAATGCAGTAGTCTCGCCGGATCAATACTGGAGAGATTGCCCGCTTCACAGTGAACGTTGAAGATCCCGTGACGTCTTTCGCCAAGTGGCGGTCCGTAGTGTGCTGGGAAATATACTCTATTGGAATAACAAAGCAAACACCGCCTCTCGACTGCCAAAACTTGGTAGGACCCTCCTGACCAAGTCACAAGACTCAGCGAGGCTTTCCAGGGTAAATGAGCGCAACAATAATAATGATTTTGATTTAAAGCTTTCGTGACTGCAGTAATTCATATTCTTAGCTCTTTCGGTAAAGTCACGTTGAAGGGAAACAATAAAATATATATTGCTTTATATATATTTTATTATTTCATTGTTTCCCTTCAACGTGACTTTACCGAAAGAGCTAAGAATATGAATTACTAATGATTAATAATGATTACATCTACACCCCCGACGTGCGGGGATGTGGGCACCACCGAGGCTTAAAGCAGACGCACGGCGCTGATCCCAGCTTTGTCAACACCACGGGAAGCCGGTAGAATGCGGTCTGCTAGCAAGCAGAGCTCCACTGTAAAGGGAGGACAGCACACGTCACCGATTCGCACGGTGCGAAAGAAGTTCAATATACATCACACATCTAACCTCCCCATTACACAGAGGCAGAGCCGGAAGCAGCAGCGGCCACCTCACAGTAACATGCACTTTGGATGTGCAGAGCATCGAGTTGTCGCCTAAACACCTCGAATAAAGGCGCATGGCGAATAAACAGCCGTGGAGGTAAACGGCAGCTTGTACTCCGTCAAATACGTCATCCCACACGCATACCTGTCAACCCGACTTCTTCACCCTATTCATTGCGGGTTGGTGAATGTGGGGATGTATGGAGGCACAGCTGGTGCATCTGCCCATACCCGTAAACCCGTTATCACTTCTTCCCTTATTACAGACCAATTCAAACCTTATTGGTCACCCCGTACCATTATAAATCTCAACGTTCATCCTATACACTACACACTACTATACATACCCGTTAAGCCTTTATCAGTGCCCTACCTTATTACAGACCAATTCAGACCTTATTGGTCACCCCCTGCCCTTATATATCTCAATGCTCATCCTACAAAGTCCCATCACTAATGGCTGTATGCTGTATGGACCTGAAAACTAAACCGTATCGTTCATTATTGTTACCCGTGTTTACCCGGTGTAAGCCTCACCGACTCTTTTTCAGGAGGCTCCCGCCGAGTTTTCACGATGACTGCTAAGTATACTTCAACCGAGCGATTTGCGGTGTAATTTTTCCAAATTTTAGCTCATTTGGACCAAAACCCCGGAAACACATTGGGCCTCCCCTTGCTAATAACATCACGTGATCTTTAACGTCAACTGTGAAGCAAGACGGCGTGGAGCAGTGTTATTACGGTTAATACGCTCACTGCGGCGTTAATCAGGGACGCCCGGAGTTGAACCGTGAACCTCTGCAACAAGTGGGCGGCGGTGCTACCGCTAGACTATGTCCATCACCCGTTATTCATTACGATTCAAGGTTTTATCATATCTCACCCTCTCAGAAATGTCTGGTTAAACACTGACGTGACAATGGACTATAATTAAAGGTGTAAATGGCAACAGTTTAAAGCTCAACACTCAACAAATTGCCAGATGATGCTGGATGTAATTACCACCGTAACGTCATTCAAATTGTAAATGTTGTGGCTTTACTCTCCAACACACTGGTGGGCTGAAATAGCAAACTAATTGGCACGTTTTGTTTACACGACAAACCTTACTGGCTGTGTCGGGTGGTGGAGGGTTACGACACATTTATGAATATTGCTCGTGAAAGCCTAAATGTTAAACTGACTTAACAAACCGCACTGGCGTCAATGATCCTGGCATCGCATCCGAAGCAATGAGAAGGCTCTGACTTGCCAATAATATTTTTTAATCGCATCTCTGCCAGTAAAATCACTTTTCATGTAAACGTAGATATCAAATGTCAGCAATAAAGAGTTATGTTGGAGTTACTGGAGAACTCGTACAGGCGCACGCCGTCAAGTGCTGTCTGGGCACTGGTGGCCTGTTTCAAATGGGCACCCGCCGACTGTTACCACGATCTACATATAGCGCAGCAGCAGCAGCGGCATTTCCTTTGCAAGTTCACAACTCGTGACGGGACCCAATGCAATTTTCTAGAAAGCTCGCGCGGCACACGTAACCCAAACCCGGCAACGGTGAAAATATTCCGTCGGGGAGATAGGCATCCGGTGTCGCATCATCCGAAAAAAATATTATTACGGTGCAAAATTTAAGAGGAGCATCTAAGGCACCAGATAAATAGAGAGAAAGAGACTACAGCGCTATCTTGTTCAAGGAGCACCTCATCCCGGCCAAAGACAAAACATGTACAAGGAGCACGGCGACAAAGCTACGGCGTTCTTGGAAAGCCTCCGCACAGCCAACGATTTAAAAAAACGCAACGTGAATTCAAACAGAACCCACACACCATTCGTGTAAACATCGGCCTCAATGGGATGGGCAGCACCAACGCCCATAAGCACTCGGGCACCAATTCCGGTTGTTAAAGACACCGGGACCAGTGGCAAACAGACAGGCAAGGAAAATCTTCGAACAGATGAAGTGGCAGACAAGGCAATGCTTTGCTTCAGGCAGTTTAAGTGTACAGCTGTAGTGAGGGGAAGGGAAGCACCCAGGCACAGGAGATCACATGCTCAACCCGCACCGGTGCAATACCAACGCACAGCCAACATAGACCCGCTCCTCATGAAGGGCATTTGTTGAATTCCTTAAATTGAGGGGGAAAGCCTCACACTGTGAGACATCTGCCTATATACCCTGCTCAAAATGTTGCAGTCATAATGTACATGTGCTTAACTTCTTTCGCACCGTACGTAGCCCAACCGTTCTCACCAGAGGTGCGGGTCAACTGACCAAGCCACGACCGTGAGTTTTAGTCTGCCGAACATATGGGTGCCAAGGTGGGGCAAGTACTAAAACTCGCGCATTACAGCAAGAAGGACCTGTTTAAATCCTGACTCAAGTGTCATTCCGTGTGGAGTTTCTATGTTCTCTTCTTGTACGGCATGGGCCTCCGGTTTTTCTTCCCATAGCTTAAAAAAACAACAATTAATGCAACCATGTTTGGCCAAAACATCCCAATGCTGAACAATTACCTGCCAGTCACTCAACAGGGATTACACATCAGCAACATCGACTCCTAGTGCGAAAAACCTTCGCAATGACCCTCCTGAAAAAGAGTCCGTGAGGCTTTTCTAAGCAACAGACTTAAATGCACATACATATGCTCCATTGAACATCATCTTAGCTGGATGACCGACCTACCAGCAACCTGACGTTCAAAATCCTGACACGAAACCATTGTGTAGAGACAACACTATGGAAGGTCCCAACTGACATGCCGCACTATATTATTGTCAACTGGAACCAAGAAACCAAACATCAGCTCCTATCTTGTAGATATGTAGCTATGCGGTGTCCCAGTCCGTCCAACACAAGTGTTTAGCTTGATTAATGATAAAATAGGCTTGAAAGCTCGGTCAGATGTATCATTATGGCACTCTAGCATGTAACACCAGTTTTGTCACCGAGAGCGAGCTCTTAAAACGCATACGGGACAGCACGCAATGCGCAGCCCTAGGTGTGCAAATACAGATTCTTATTCTGAGATGCATTTACCGCGGTGTATGGCGGCTTTTTGATCCATGCGATGGATCACAGCCGCAGTCTCGCACAAGAACTGTCTCACCAGGCCACAACCGCCGCCGCGGCAAGCGCCCTCGGCGAGCACCTACGACTAACGCCGGCGCGGCGCACGACCGAACCCTTGGTCTCTCTTTGCGCCGGTGCCTGGGCACAAACCGCGGCGGGTAGCTGCCGCTTTTGGAAGCCCCGTGGATGCGCGCGCGGCGATTTCTGCGCGGCCGTGTGTATGGAGCTGGCGTCCGTGGGAGCTGTGCTTGCGCCACTTACCTGCGAGAGCACGAGGCCACGAGAGCACGGGGCGCGTGCGACGGGGGAGGAATGCTCCTTTGCTGGCTGACGCTGCCAGCCAACCTAAAGAAATTCTCTCAACAACTGCAGAGAAGAGATAAACACGACACCGTCAGCAGCAGGGCCGCCACCCGCACGGCGCCGTGCGCCAAAACCGGCAGCGCCAAAAGCCACGAGCGCACAGAGATTAAAAAGAGAATCGACACAGCTGTTACGTCAACCCACTGCCCCGCCACTCGGCGTTTACAAATCACACATGACGAGCCAGAACAAACCCCTCCATGGCGCAGCGGAAATGCGAGAAAATGACAAAAATCTGCCAAACGGCCGTGCGGTGCCAAGCTCGAACCTGGATAAGTCTACATGGCGCCAAGTGGCGCTGCGCACGGGGAACTGTTGACAGATTAGGCCACACTGACTGCACGACGCGCACATCGGTTTACGTCCCAAGGTCAGCGCCAAGGGGCGCCGTGTACACAGCACGCACGACCGCCCGCAAGGGCGCGAGCCCCAGCCTTCGCGAGCACCGCGGCCTGCTCGAGCGAGCGAGCACTGTCGCCCACCACTGTCCACCACTCTCACTACCAACCCCCCCCCCCCCTGTCGCTTTGGTACCAAGCGCAGCAGCGTCTCTGCCTCTGCCCTACGGCTTCACGTGTGAATGGGGCGCCCAGAACACCTCTGGAACCTACGCGACGCCACACATCAACGCAAAGTAACGGTCGGGAAAAACAAGGGCAATCATCGGCAGTCACAACGCGGCAATGTCTTCACTTGGTTCACCATGAGGGCGCTAATTTGTTGTTGAATACACCGCGCTTCAAACCAACCTTCTCTTCCACACACATCTTTATTATTATTATAACGGCAATAATGCCCCCCCGAGTTCATCATTGGCCAGGTCGCTCGGAGGCAGAGCGAGCGGCTCGCAACTGAAAGGTTGCGCGTTCATATCCTGTTTGGGTCGGGGGGGGGGGGTGAATTGGCCCATCACCCCTCCGGGGTAGTAAAAATAAGTACCACTTGGAGAGGAATAAAATAGCCTCCGCCATGGGATGTATAGAATAGCCCCCGCCATAGGAATGTGGAATTTCTGCCACGGGTTAAGGGCTGTAAATGAGAGTTAAGCATTGCCTCAGGGAAAAATGTAAAGACTATCATCACGATTTCATGTTTTGAATCCACTGCACGTGGTGTCATTACATCTCCAAATCCTCACCGACTATCAAGAATATCTTGCACAAGAAGACCCCTGCTGCATCGTTTAGTTTTGACGCATTGTGTTCATGAGCAGCTTGGCTTTGCGCGGGGGGGGGGGGCAGAAACCGGAGAAGCTGGAGAAAATCCACACGCGAGGGGGGACGACGGTCAACGCTCGGCACAGACCGCCTGAAAGCCCACGTGGTTCAGCAGGGACCAAAGGTGCTTAGAGCTGAAGGGCAGCATTTTTGAACACAGGACGAGCGAAACGTGGACACAGCAAGCCTGAGCGCCAGGAAATATGAGATCACGCTGGCCACTCTACGCAGGCAAGGAGATAGCTACTACTGAATGCACAATTTTCAGGAGGTGGGCAATGATTTATAGTGGGGAGCTGGTGGGTGGCGAAGTTACCCCCTGTGGCACTGTGAACGTCAACACTGAAACGCGAACAGAATTTTATTGTCTTATTTTGTTTTATTGTTTCATTCTCATTCTACGTGACTTTACCGAAAGAACCAAGAAGACGAAAAGGGACCTTTGCATTGAGCTGCTTGAAGTTGGGATAAGATCAATGGGAGGGTTAGTTACTAGTGGCTGGTTGGCCAGTTGGTTAGGGTCAGTGGGAGGGCTAGTAGTGCTCGCTGGCTAGTTGGCTTGGGCTAACCTACAGACTGCACTTGCTTGGATCGTGTATTTAAAAAACAAAAATAAAGCATTCTTTGCCACTTTTCCTTTACGATGTTTAAGTGGCGAGGTGGAGAAGATGAGTCTCAGTATCCGATTCCGTCTAGTCTGATCATAACACTGACATTTATAAATACTGTACTCTTGCAATCTTACCGATTGTGAGCGGAAACTCTGAACATTTCGACTGTTTGGTCAAATTCCCCAGCAGATCAGAGTTTGCGTGCGGCAGCAAACCAGGAACCCGGAGAATGCCCGCCGCGGCGCGTACGAGACGCATAACCCAAAAAAATTCCGCACAGGTAGGGTTCATGGACCCGGCTCGCTCCAAGTGCAATCTTCTCGAAGTTGGGGAGTTCCTCAAATCACTACATGGTCCACCGGCCCTCGCCTCGGGCGTGCCACCCACCACACCCGCTGGGGTAAAAACTGCGGCTACAACGCCTGCACCTGTACCACCACACCGTCGACGCCAGACAAAGGTGCCCCGTATAGCCTTAACAGACTGTTGGGGGCAAATGCTGTTAGCTAGTAGCAGCTATGAAGGCCCGGCACGAGCACACGACAGGGGGTGGGTGGCCAGCAACCACGCCGAGCCGCCAGAGGGCGCCACCAACAACCAGCAACGGACGAACGACGACGAACAACAACAAGGCGACCCCAGATCTGCAAATCCAGGAGGGCTGGCCATTGCTTCACGTGGAATGGGCCTAACACGAATAACAAGAATAACGTGCCCTTCGGCAATTCAGAAAATCCTCAGTACCATTGTGGGGACGATTCCGATACATCGGGCCGTCTGGCCAATTCCACGAACTAAGGAGTTTTGCCTCGGCCGAGGGACTAGCGCTCAAATATCTCCGTGGGATTCATGAGAAACCCATTTATGCGATGCCGTCCACAGGCCACCTCACGGCCGGTTGGGCCTCACTCAACCCAGCGTGACTCACTCAACCCAGCGTGACTCACTCAACCCAGCATGACTTACTCAACCCAGCCTCACTCACTCAACCCAGCCTGACTCACTCAACCCAGCATGACTCACTCAACCCAGCCTGACTCGCTCAACCCAGCCTCACACACTCAGCCCAGCCTGACTCGCTCAACCCAGCCTGACTCGCTCAACCCAGCCTGACTCGCTCAACCCAGCCTGACTCGCTCAACCCAGCCTGACTCGCTCAACCCAGCCTGACTCGCTCAACCCAGCCTGACTCACTCAACCCTGCCTGACTCACTCAACTCAGCCTGACTCACTAAACTCAACCTCAACCTGACTCACTCAACCAAGCCTGACTCATTGAACCCAACCTGACTCAACCTGACTCAGTGAACCCAGCCTGACTCAACCAAAGCCAGGACTTCGTCTAGTCCACCCTGATGAACACCATCCGTCCACCACACTCGACGACACCCCCCCCCCCTTCCTGGCCAACCAGATGCAGACATCGAGAGGGCGAGATGATAAGCGAGCCCGAAGGGACAAAAAAGGGGATTTGAAGACATGGGGAGGGAGGTGGACAAATGGATACAACAGGGGACTGGAGAAACGAGTGCCCAAGGAACACAGGGCCCCGATGAGACCACGATTTGGAGGCCAAAGAGACAATGAAACGAGGCTTTGAAGACACGGGGAGGGAGGTGGACAAATGGACACAACAGGGGACTGGAGAGGCGTGTGGACAATGGGACGTGATGGGAGCAAGCGAGTGCCCAAGGAACACAGGGCCCTAATGAGACCACATTTTAGCCCTAATGAGACCACGATTTGGAGGCCAAAGAGACTGCGAGACGACTTAAAAGAGCCAGTGAACGAGAAATACGGGACAAGAGAAAGTGACACGGAAAGAGAACACGTGGACAAACGCTCGCAGACACCCGGATCGAGACAACGTGGAGACGGAAAACACCACAGAAGGACAAATACTGAGACAAAAGACGGCCACGCCGACGAGACACAGAGAGACGAGGACGGAAGCACACAGACACAAGAATAGAACAACCACGCAGAGACAAAGGCGGACACGCAGGGAGACACAAAGACGGCCACGCAGAGACACAGAGACAGCCACGCAGAGACAGAGACACAAAGACGGCCACACAGAGACACAAAGACGGCCACGCAGAGACAGAGACACAAAGACGGCCACGCAGAGACACAAAGACGACCACGCAGAGACAAAGACGGCCACGCAGAGACACAGAGACGGCTAAGCAGAGACACAAAGACGGCCACGCAGAGACACAAAGACGGCCACGCAGAGACACAAAGATGGCCATGCAGAGACACAAATACGGCCACGCAGAGACACAAATACGGCCATGCAGAGACACAGAGACACAAAGACGGCCACGCAGAGACAAAGATGGCCATGCAGAGACAGAGACGGCCACGCAGAGACACAAAGACGGCCACGCAGAGACACAAAGACGGCCACGCAGAGGCACAAAGACGGCCACGCAGAGGCACAAAGACGGCCACGCAGAGGCACAAAGACGGCCACGCAGAGGCACAAAAACGGCCACGCAGAGGCACAAAGACGGCCACGCAGAGACACAAAGACAGCCACGCAGAGACACAGTGATGGCCACGCAGAGACAGAGACACAAAGACGGCCACGCGGAGACACAAAGATGGCCATGCAGAGACACAGAGACACAAAGACGGCCACGCAGAGACACAAAGACGGCCACGCAGAGACACAAAGACGGCCACGCAGAGACACAAAGACGGCCACGCAGAGACACAGTGATGGCCACGCAGAGACACAGAGACACAAAGACGGCCACACAGAGACACAAAGACGGCCACGCAGAGACACAAAGACGGCCACGCAGAGACACAAAGATGGTCACGCAGAGACACAAAGATGACCACGCAGAGACACAAAGACGGCCACGCAGAGAGACACAAAGATGGCCACGCAGAGACAGAGACACAAAGACGGCCACGCAGAAACACAGAGACACAAAGACGGCCACGCAGAGACACACAAAGACGGCCACGCAGAGAGACCCAGAGACACAAAGATGGCCACGCAGAAACATACAAAGGCTGTGAACGGAGGCAGCAGACACGAGGCGCAGGGTGAAAGACCAAACAAAAAAAAGCGTACACACAGGGAGAGATATAAAGGCGGCCACGCCACGCTCGCTCGCTCCCTACAACCACCAAACAACCATCCTCCCCTCCCCGCCATCTCGCGGCCTCCATGCAACAGCAGCAGGATGAGGATGAGGAGAAGATGGAGGCGCGGGACACACCGGGCCCGCTGTGTTTTTGTTTAAACTCCCCTCCCAACCTCATCCTCCTCGTCCGCACGAGGGATCCGCCGCTTATACTAACAACCTTAACGAAAAATAAGTGAAGATAATGTATTTTTGGTGGAGGGGGGTCGAGGTGTGAATCCCGCACCACGAACCTGAGGAGAGACGAACGCGGCGCGGCCCTCCCGCGCTGTTGCTGCTGCTGCTGCCGCTCCCTGAACTGCGCAGAGGGGCGTGGGGGGCAGCCCTCCTCGCTCGCCAGCTCAGAGGGGGTTGTGTTGTTGTTGTTTGTTGTTGTTGATGTTGTTTTTAAAACCTTCACGGTGTCACGCTCGCGCCTTCTTGATTTGCGCTGCCACCACCGCCGCCGCCACCACTTCACGACTTTTTTTTGTTTCAATCGGGCAACGTTTAAAGCGATTTGTAGTGCGTCCGTCGCGTGGGTGGGTGGTGAATGGTGGGTGAGGGTGGTGGGTGAAAGGTGGGTGGTGAGGGTGGTGGGTGAGGGTGGTGGCTGGTGGGTGAGGGTGGTGGGTGAGGGTGGTGAGGGTGGTGGGTGAGGGGGGTGAGGGTGAGGAGTGGGTGGGTGAGGGTGGTGAATGGTGGGTGGTGAGGGTGGTGGGTGAGGAGTGGGTGGGTGAGGGGGGTGAGGGTGAGGAGTGGGTGGGTGAGGGGAGTGTGGTGGGTGTGGGGAGGGTGAGGAGTGGGGGGGGAGGGGTGAGTGAGTGGTGGGTGAGGGTCAGGGGAGTGTGGTGGGTGAGGGTGAGGAGTGGGTGGGTGGTGAATGGTGGGTGAGGGTGGTGGGTGAATGGTGGGTGGTGAGGGTGGTGGGTGAAGGTGGTGGGTGAGGGTGGTGAGGGTGGTGGGTGGTGAGGGTGAAGAGTGGGTGGGTGAGGGTGGTGGGTGAGGAGTGGGTGGGTGAGGGGAGTGTGGTGAGTGAGTGGTGGGTGAGGGTCAGGGGAGTGTGGTGGGTGAGGGGAGTGAGGGTGAGGAGTGGGTGGGTGGTGAGGGTGGTGGGTGAGGGTGGTGAGGGTGAGGAGTGGGTGGGTGAGGGGAGTGAGGGTGAGGAGTGGTTGAGGGGAGTGTGGTGGGTGAGGGGAGGGTGAGGGGTGGGTAGTGGGTGAGGAGTAGGTAGGTGAGGGGAACGTTTGTGTTTGACGTTGTTTCGACATTCGGCTTCGATTGGACGGGTTGTTTTAAATTAGTTTAACAAATCGGGCCCGTCGCGTTGTTGATTGTATTTGGTGGTTACGTTAGGTGTGGGGGTGTAGAGTTGTAATTACCACCACTCATTTTCAGTTCAGTTTATTTATTTTGGTATAGCCCCTGCGAGCCATTCGGCTCTTGAATCGGGTGCAACCACAACAACAAACACAAAAACACGAACAAGAAAAACATCTTAAAATGTGTCGGGGAGGCTGACTCCCGTCTCTCCGCTCATCTGGGATCCACTGCTCCCCCTCTTCCGTGTCCTGGGGAGGGTTTTTGCTGCTGCTGCTCCCACAGCAGCAGCAGCAACGCTCCCCTTTACATCAAGCCCCCCTCGGAGCATGATGTAAAGGGCTGGTACTGGTAGGAACGAAGTTGTAAACTGAGTGTACCAGCCTGCAATAGATTAATGTGTCCGTCCGTCCGTCCCCTTTCAATACTTTAACGAAGTGAAATCTCATGCTGTTGGGTGTAAAATCAGCAATAGACAGCGCTGAGACTTGTCCTACCAGCCCACCCTGCAGGGACCTGGCCCTTAACCACCAAAATTCGACGCGGCTACCTGCCCGGCGCCGCGCACCAATAGCATGCGCGGGACCCCGGGGTCGGGGGTCAGAGGGCGGGGGGCGTCACTCGTACGCGCGCCGCCGATTGGAGGAGGCGACCCCGGAGCTTGATTTAAAGGGCTGTACGAACAAACTCTCGGGTACGCCGCCCGTGCGCCTCTCGCACACGCTAACCAAAGGTCGCACGAATAATCCCACGTACCCTCGTACCAGTCCGCCGCCGCTGCGCCTCTCGCACACGCTAACCACGGGGCCACACAGTTAATCTCGCGTGCACGCCGCCCGTCTATCTCGCGTACACGTTAACTACGGGCTACACGCAGCGGCGAGCGCACACACGCGGGTAAAATACACGCTCGAAGGATCACAGCACCGTGCACTCTTCTCCGCACTCGCAGGGACGACACGACAAGGTTTATTGACTCCTGGCGATTTATTCTCCGCGAATAACATAGCTAAACTACCCGTGTCAGTGTGGGCCAGCAGGGCAGGTCTAACCTATCTCCTGGCGGTCTGGGACTCAATCTGTCCCCGTCTCTTCCCAGTCCCTCTCCCTAAGGGATATTCCCCTTTATTTCACCTCTCTCCTCCGTACTCACGGTTCGACTCTGAGGTGCATGAAGTCGCGGAAAGGCGAGGCTGCACGTAGTCCTTGTTGGGAAAAGGGGCCTGGATGCGCTGCGACTCGTCTCACAGACGATCCAGTAGCAGGCACGATGACCCCTCCGCTACTTGAGTGCAGAAGAACCCGAATCCCCACCTCTACCTCCTCTGCCCTTTTTATTGTTCCTACATCAAAGGTAACGTGCCGCTAATCCGCTGGCCTCTCGTCCAATCAGGAGCCTCGGATTTCCCGCTCTTCGCTAATCCGATCGGTGCTCTCTCCGACGTCCGCTTTTTACTCTTTGAACAAGCACACACGTCGTGCAAGGGGAGGGCCTCCTGCCTTCCCGTCGCTCGCTACTCCGCCCCACCCCCTACCTGCCTGCTGACCAGTGTGTGTTTTTGTTGTTTCCTATCCGCGGTGGATCGGCAGCCCCGTCGTGACCACGTGATTACAACCCAAGTCACGGCGCCGCGGTGCACGTTAGCCTCGGGGGAGGTCGCCCAATTCCCTGGTCGCAGGAAACCGTGAAGCTTGGTCCCATGAGGGGGCTTCTGGGTGAAAACCTGTCGGCCAGGTGAGCTCCCGTCGGGGCTCTATGTGGGGGTGTGTTCATGTGGGGGGTGGTGAGGGAAGAGCAGCGTCGGCCCCGTCGCTCGGAGGTGGCGGCGTCGCGGCCACGGAGTCGTCAGGATGGCCTCGCTGCTGCGGCATCACAGTGGCAGGCACGGCTCCGACGGGGCGGCTTCGCTGCGGTGGCACCACACATGTGACTGTGCAAACAGAAAATCCATGAAATAAAACAGCTAAATATTCCTGAAAAAAGCACTGTACACCAACGCTGTGTGCAAAAAAATCCCAGTGGGATGCAAGTCAAACAACAACCACAATAAAACTTATGTTTTATTCGGTAAAAGTCACGTAGATAAAATAAAACAAAATAAAAGAAAATAATTAAATCACGACGTTTCGGAGGCAACACAAGCTTCCGTCTTCAGGTGGAAAAGTCAACGCAGAATATCTGTGTTAGGAGCACAGTTCAGAGACGACCTTGGATTATATACAGGTTAAGGGAGGGGGGAGGAGTCAGTAAGGGGGCGTGGGTGGGTGGGAGGGCTGGGCTAAGCAGCCTTTTGATAGAATGCTGCGGGTAACACCCACTTCTCAAAGCTCACAACAAGTGGGTGTTACCCGCAGCATTCTATCAAAAGGCTGCTTAGCCCAGCCCTCCCACCCACCCACGCCCCCTTACTGACTCCTCCCCCCTCACTTAACCTGTATATAATCCAAGGTCGTCTTTGAACTGTGCTCCTAACACAGATATTCTGCGTTGACTTTTCCACCTGAAGACGGAAGCTTGTGTTGCCTCCGAAACGTCGTGATT